GGTGAGAGGATCCACCAGAGACAGAGTGGGGAACAGAACAGGCAAACTGACTGAAAAACACTGCTGAGGGGAGGGAGCAGCAGGTGAGCCAGGAGAGGTCTGCCTTGCCATGGGGGTTTCTCCCTGGCTGGCCGGGGATCGAACCCATGCTGCAGAGGCTGTAGATTGCCTCACAGTGCGGTGCTTAACCCCTTGCACCACCAGGGAGGTCTCTTGTTCACATTCTTATAAGTAGGAGAATTTTCTGATTGGAGAGTGAGAAGGTCGTAGTTTTTCAATTTGGATAGGTTTTGCCAATGAGCCTTCATAGGGGTCGTTCTCATTTATTCTTGTATGTTCAGTGTATCTAAGTGGCAGTCAGTCACAGGGCATTCTCATAGAGTTCATAGAGGTTTCAGTGTCCCCATAAATTGTTCCCCTTTTCCTCACCTCACCCCTTTCTTCAAATAATTGTTTGTAGTCTAGGGAGAGAGTCCACAGCTTCCTAGGTAATCAGTGGATTAAATGTTTGGGTCAAGACCATATTGCTAAGATGACTATTATTGATGTGCTGGTATATGTCTGGCACTTTTCTAAGTGCAGAGCTCCCAGACTCACTTTTAACCTCATAGGAACCCTTTGAAGTGAGTGAAAGCCCTGGTAAATACAAGGTAAGGAGCAGACTAAGAGATTGCAGAGGAGTGAGTTAGATGTTAATAGTTAAACTGTTTTTTTCTGCTTCTATGGTGGTGAAATGAGATTTCAAGATTTTGTCTGTTTTAATAGTAGATTTTTTTGGAATCTGAAAAGAGGAGCTGGAACGAGGGCAGACATCTTCAGAATTGCTTTTGTTGCCGTTTACCAGAGCAGCTGTGACACGTATTGTTGATGGAATAAAGAATATTTACCCCCATGCTCTTTATTCATAGTTGCAGGGTCTTTCTTTTTACTGAAACTAGTATTTGTTTGGTACATTACAGTTCCACAAAGAACTTTCATGTCCGTTACTCTTGATTCTTCCCTTTATCATTTGATCGGCTGTAGTTGACTGTATCTCCACTTAGTGCTCCTCATTACTCTGTGTCCCTGAATGGGATTTTACTTTCAAGGCAGCCCCGATACAGATACAGTGTAAAGTCCAAAGTCTAGAACTTGTTGTTCCTCTTTGCTTCCTCTACAAATGTGTTCTATAACTTTTTAAAATTTTCAAGAGACAAAGTATAGTGACTGACCTTATTTGAACAATTTGTTACCATCACATAAACTTTCAGCAAAGGTAATTTGATCCATATTTTATGATACAGTAGTTATTACTGTGCTATATGGTAATCAAGTGTACATGATTTTGGCATCAGCACTAGAACCATTTTGGTTTTGGATTGGATGAGAAGAGGGTTGATGGTGTGGCTTTAAACTTTTTGTCCAGGATCCACTGTAAGAAATGTATTTTATATCTCTCTCAGTGCACAGCCTAATAAAATGATAGATTAACTCTTGCTACTCACAAAGCTTTCTGGTTTGTTTGAATCTATGCTTTTTTGGTCAAATTTCTTTTCTTTTCTTTTTTTTTTTTAAAGAATTTTTCCTTTATTGTAAGATTTTTTAAATTTATTTTGCGTAGAAGAACTGGGTTGTATACCAGTGTAGAAATACACTGCTGAGGGGACTACTGGGCAAGACAGGAGAAGTCTGCTGAGCCATGTGGGTAGCCCCCTGGCCGGCCGGGGATTGAACTGGTGCTGCAGAGGCTGTGGGCAGCTTCACAGTGCTGTGCTTAATCCCTTGCACCACCAGGGAGGCCCAAAATAACCTATTTTAATATTACTTTAAGTTAAAGTGTTCAGAACTTTGAAATTCATTTCTTAGTAGTAACATCACAGACTCAAGCTTTTAAATAGTCTTTTATTTGTAAGAATAATATAGAATTGACTGATAATTTTTAAAATTAAGAAGCAATGCACATGCTCTTGGTATATATTTGTTGTCAATTGTTTTTGTTTTAATCGCATTATTTTTTATTGCAGTAACATTGGTTTACAACACAGTGTATGATTTAGGGTGATAGGTCCACACCCCTTCAGATTATGTTACCACACCAGACTCACCACCAAAGCGCCAATAACCTTCCATTAATAGTCCGCTGAGCCTCTTTCCCGCTTTACTCCCCACTCCTACCTCCCCACTCTGGTAGCCTTAATTCAGTAGTCATGTTCCTTGGGTTTGTTTTTGTTTAGTTCTTGTCTATCCCATTGTTTTCTTTCTTAACATTCCACATATGAATGAAATCATCCTTATTTGGTATCGGACTCTTAAATTGATCTAGTCTTCACAAAGAATCCATCCAGTTGTTAAACTGCTCCCCTTATATAAGTCTTTCTTAGAGTCAAATATTTGTTTAATAATGAACACCATCATTTATAGTGTCGTAGCACTAAAGGGAGAATATTTTGCAGCTGTAGACTTTTCTGCTTTCTCTTTCCAAGGCAGTGTTTGGTGGGAGGGTTGTCTGAAGGCAGGATAATCAGGAGCAGGACTGCCCACCTGGTTCATTCATTTTCGGTCCTGTTAAATCATCTTATGCCCAGAAGGAAGATGTGTCAGTTGATGAATGGACCAGAGTATTGATTTTATGTTTTCAAGTCTCCCCTGTATAGAGGAGATTAAGCTTCCATGCACAAGCTATTCCATACGTCCTTGTTCTCAAATGGGCATGTAATTAATGTGATCACACAGCTCACCGAGGTTCGAGTTCAATGCTGTGATACAGAGCTTCCTGTTTGCTGTTAAATACAGTGGGGAGCTATTGTGAAGGCAGCGCTGGGCTTGGAGTCAGGTGACCTAAATTCTAGCCTGGGCTCTTCTGTTCTCTTACAGTTGATCAAATGATGAGATTTATTTTAAAGAATAAACAGGTTATTTGAAAACCAGTAAGTTCAACAAAAGGAGATTATCTTATGAAACATCAGGATAACTGAAGTACTGTTTTGCTACTCTCATTGCATGTCTACAATGATACATTGTATGTGTAAAAATCAGTTTATGAAATACTAAGTATAGTTTAATCCATTTTTTCTTCTAAAAGTAAATATTCCACCTGACCAAAACAACAACAAAACCCCTCCTGCAATATATTTAGTCCAAAAATTATAATTTTTTTTTTTTTGCTTAGGGAGTGCAGAATATTTAAATATAATCTGAATATTACATTTTCAGAGAGCTATAGGTAGGTTCTTGAGATGTTCAGTTGGAACTCTGTGTTTGGTGATTCTTGTAGGCTTTGTTTATTTTTGCCATCTTTATCCTTTGTATTTGTTGGTACTATTTGTATTTGTTGGTACTATTGAGTATTTTCAGAAATACTTTTTTTTATGGGAAGAAATGAAAATTTTGCCACAGATGGTTTTCATTTTCTAACATGAGGCGCGTGCATCGATAGCCTTTAAAACTTTAATGCTTTATAATATGCAGGTGCCTTTATTGCTATAGAAATCCCTAAATCCTTGTTTGAAATTTATTAAATGGTGTGCCATCTGTAAACCTCTCCAAATTCCATAGATTCATTAACCTTTAACTTAAGGTTGCCTTTTATCTAACTTTTAGTATAAACATTTCCATCTGGGAACCTTCTCTTTTATGTGCTTATTCAGTGTTCTGTGTACTTCAGCACTCTAGTAGTGTTAATTATGGACTCTGGCATTCTCAGGAACAATCAAGATCACTAAGAATAACAGCACATTGAGCAAAGTGGCATTGTCCAGAAACTTAGTGAACGAACAGTCCATCATTGCTTTGCAACCTCTGTGTGTGTGTGTGTGTGTGTTTAACATTCCTGAAGAATGAACAAATTTTGGGCCTCCCTGGTGGCACAAGGGGTTAAGCACAGCACTATGAAGCTATCCACAACCTCTGCAGCACTAATTCAATCTCTGGCCGGCCAGGGAGATGGCCACATGGCGCAGCAGACCTCTCCTGACTCTCTGCTCCCCTCAGCAGTGTATTTCAGTCATTCTGCTTGTTCTGCTCACCACTCTGTCTCTGGTGAATCCTCTTACCCTCCGCACCTCTGGCCTGTACCCCAGTTCTGGTATGTATAAATAAATAAATCTTAAAAAAAAAAAGAATAGGCAAATTTTGTCGATGGTGACTACATAAGACAGTATTCTTGTGAAGTTTCAGTTAAAGGAGGAAAAAAGAGAAAGGGAAAAACCACCTTATTTTGACATCTCACATAATATTTCTTTTCCTTGTAGGTTCTTACCAAAAACTTGTTGACAGTATTCAGTGTTGGGAGATGACTCTGGTGGTCACTTGGTAGGCAGGAAGACACCGAAGATTGTTGCAGTTGTCCAGGGATGAGTTAGGGGGCCTGTTAGAAGAGTGGCAGTGGGCATAGAGAGAAAGAGATGACTAGGGCACATTTCACTGGAAGGACCTGGGTCTTTAACATATCCTCAATTATATTTAGAGAGGGAATGAGAAGTTGAGAGAGGGAATAAGTATGGGAAATGAAAGAAAAATAAGTTAAGGTCATTTCTTCCTTTGTATCCTGAGAGATACCACTGATAGAAGATGGATAGATTTTAAAAATCTGCCTTCAGGGAAATGAGTTCAATTTGCACATATTGAATTTGTAGCAACGGTGACCTTGTAAGTAATTGGATTTAGGGTTTTGCAGCATCATCAATTTAGGGTCAGAGATAGAGGTTAAAGCTGTGTGTACCTATGTAAAGGTACATTCTGAGGGAGTTTCTAAAGGGAAAATTGAAAGATCAATAAATAAGCCTTAGGAACCAGCAGAAGAAATTATTTAATGATTAGGTTTTAGAAGATCTTATGTGAAAATCAACTTACTTCCTATGAGTAATATTTTTAAAAACTTGTCCTAAAACAACCAGTGACCTATATTTTGAACATTTGTTTAAAAATCATTGTAAAAATTTGTGTATTTGGATATACAAGTATATCCTTCAGACCCATCAGATTCTAACATCAGATATTCTGACTCATTGTAACTTTCCTAGATTGCTGTGCTGAGGAGACAGCAACGTATGATAAAAAATCGAGAGTCAGCTTGTCAGTCCCGCAAGAAGAAGAAAGAATACATGCTCGGATTAGAGGCAAGGTTAAAGGCTGCCCTCTCAGAGAATGAGAAGCTGAAGAAAGAGAATGGGTCCTTGAAGAAGCAGCTTGATGAAGTTGTATCAGAGGTGAGTGCTGGTGCTACAACTGCCTTGAGATGGGTTATTCTTTCTTTTTATAAATCAGCAGAGATAGTTTTTATTTTATATTAGTTATGTAAAATAATAGTACTAGGCAAAAGGAGGGCACAGTAAGCCCTCAAACATAGTAAGTGGAAAAAGGAGCTTTTTAATGTACCTCCCAACCTACGTATAAGAGCTGGTTGTCTCCTTGCTCTGAGTTTTCCCTCACTCTTCACCTCAGCTCTTTTCTGACTCAGTGACATGTTGAGGCTGCTCAGTGCAAAATAAAACATTTTAAATCTCTGTCCACCTGACCATTATTTTTTATTATTATTATTTGCATTTTATTGCCCTGCTGACCCGAAAAAGGTTAAACTTCTCCTCAATCTGCTCCATTAATCTGTTGCTTTCAGACTTTCTCACTGTGGCATGAGCCTGAGCCAGAGGCCTGTGCCTCCTTAGCGTAGCTGTCATTGTATTTTCTCTCTCCCTGGGCAGGTGGGCATAGTCCATTATGTTACTGAGAATAGTGATTTAAGAGATAGGGAGACAAACTGCAGAATTACCTCAAATTCTTTTAAGAGCTATAAAAAATGTAAAATTGTTGACTTCTTTCTGGTAAAGAGGCAGCTGCAGTGATGTTCGGTTTCCTCCTTTTCTCTCTATTAAAAGAGGGAACTTGGAAGACTCTGCTCTAGGCTGTTTAAAAGTCCATTTTCCTCACCTGTAAGTTATTTTGTTTTGCTAATTTTATGTATTCATATAATGGGTAAAGAAGAGAATTCATATATTAGCTGTTGATTTCTGTAAGATTGCTGTGAGTTAACTGTATTTATTATGATCATTTCCTGTAGAATCAGAGGCTTAAAGTTCCCAGTCCAAAGCGAAGAGCTATCTGTGTGATGGTAGTCTTAGCATTTATAATACTCAACTTTGGACCTTTGAGGTAAGTTCATCTTTTGGATACTAATGCTAAATATTTTAATTCTGATTGTTTATCATTTCCACTTGTAGTTTAAGCTTGCAGATTTGTTTTGTTCTTCCTAGAGATAGTATTTTAGAAGAAGGGAAAAGAAAGATTTATTATTTTTCACCAAGGCATAGCAGAAAATATGGTATTTAATGATGGAAGCCTTAAGTTATCACACTCACTGGTGTGGCAGAATAAGACCTGATTAAGATCATGGATCCTAATCAGACTGGAATTCAAATCCTGGCTTTGCTTCTTAGTAGCTGTGTTGTCTTAGGTGAGTAACTTAATCTCTCTATACACTTGTGTTCATACCTTTAAAGTGAGTGTTAAAAAAAATGAGTGTATACAAACATTTTTAAGGCTTTTAAAGACACAATCTCTCTTTTTTTTAAATAATAAATTTTATTTTTATATTCCCCATACAATTGCAACCCCCTCATTCTGACCCCAATCCCTCCCCTCCCGCCTCCCACCCCCCAAAAAGTGTAAAGACACAATCTCTTTAAAGATGCCGCCTCTTAAAACTTCTCAAAGCACTAATATTGGATAATGTTATGCAACTTAGTTTCATGAATTTAAATAATAAAATATTTTAAAAATGTAAAAAAAAAAATGAGTGTATAATAATACCCACCTCAATACTGTGGTTCTGTGATACTGTGAGCATCAGTGATACAAAGCACTTGGTGGCTTCCTCCCTAGCAAGAAAATAAGCATAGGATTATAGTTCTCAGTTTCTGATTTATAAAATTTGGAACAAGAATCTGAATATTTTTAAGCATTCCTTGTGATCTGGTATATGTTTTCAGGTAGCCACAGCTTGAGAAATGCTGCCTTAATGCTAATCATGGCATGCTAGAGTTGAAAGGGAGCTTAGAAATCATATTTTCAGATTCCTACTCACCATGACACAGTCAACACATGAACTAAACCAGCATCCTAGTTGGGGTGTCAAACAGTAATTGACAGGGGTCATGTCCTTAAAGACCCCATGATCCAGGAGGACTGCAGTATAATGTGATGAATGTGCTCCTAGCAGTACAAACAGACTACTAAAAGAATATAAATAAGAGTATGAATCCCTTGATGAGTTTCATGCCATACCAATAATTGCTCAAAGCATTTTTTTTTATTAAATGACAAAGTGATGAGAGAAATCCCCATAAAGGAAATTGACTCTTGAAGTGTGGTAGCAATTTGCCAGGTGAAAATCATTGGAAAAATCAAGTCAGGCAGAGGGAAGGAACATCATATTAAAAGGCTTGATTAGGAATAGCCTGACATTTTCAGGAAAAAGGAAAAAGTTCATTGTTTCTTGTATATGTGGGAGTGTGTGTGTGGGGACTTGCTGACCTTTTGAAAGAGCCTGGGATATAGCAAATTAGCACTTATTGTTTGGCGGGTACTGAGCAAGGAGCAAGTTGTATAAAGATGAATGAAAGTACAGTCTAGTAAAAAAAGTAGCTATTAAACAACTATAACATCAGCAAGAGTTATGTAGATGTCATATACACATGTGGGCCTTTTTGTGAAAGAACATAGAAATAATCAGTAATTCTGATAATGGTAATCACAGACACTTTATGCAATAATAGCATTTGATGAACAAATGAAGATGGATTTACGTGACAAGAAGTGAATATGGGGTTGGGTAGACATGTTATGGAAGTTCTCATGAGTTACTAGATACTTTAACAAGACTGGAGCAATTTTTTTTTTTTCATGAATTAGCCACCTTCACAGCTGTGGTGATGAGGACGTGTGCAGGGATAGCTCTCATTTCCATGAGTAGATGGACTGATCCATTGTGGGAGATCATATTCTCATTTTATCAGTAGAGGTTTGTGTTTAAAAATAAATTAGGTGTACAAAGAGGGACTGAAGAGTGGGAAAAGGTTTAAATGCTTGGAAATAATCAGGATCAATTAGAGGAATATGTGTCTCTGTGTGAAGGTTTTGGGACCAGAAAATGAAGAATTTGTGGGAATGTTAAGAACTGTTCATATATCTAAAACATGTTAAAAATTAAAAGGCTTAGATTGAAGAAAAGCAACAAAGAGAAGGAAGGAATGAAGAAATAGAGATACATTTTAACAAGCTGGAATTTTTCCAGATACTAAGATGGAATTAGGAAAGAAACTGGTTATGAATCTTATAAAAACTAGAAATGCTTTATTCTAGAGAAAATTTGGCACGGTGAAATGCCAAAGCCCATTAAGACTTGAAAGACTGAAACCTGCCCCTGAACCAAATCTTGGGAATAGAGACGCTCCCCTCGTGTATGTTATTAAGAGGCATTCTTGATTTACCCTGTCATTGGCAGACGCTTCGCTGCAAGATGAAGACTTTCTGGGAGTCTGCCCGGGAGCAGGAACTCCCTGGTTGAACCTTATTAGTACCACCTGGAAGATGTTTATTGAACAACTTCCATATCCAGACTTGTATATCTATATGCTTTAAACAAATAATATTATGTTTTAATTGGTGTTGAAACTATCAACTTTAACAAAACAGACTGTGAATTATAATTGAATTTTTTTTCAGGTACTACGAAACTAAGTCTGACCATACAAATAGACATTGAAATCAGAGGTTGGAGCATTTTAAATTTAGGAACCTAAACTCTTTCAGAACAGATTACATTACCATAATGAAGTAGTTAATGTTGTTTCAGATGTTCAACGTAGAATTGATCTTTTGTGCCTTATTGGCATGGATCCAAGTGAAAAAATACATAACACACAAGTTTGCCAAGTATAGGTATTCCTTAAGAAACCATTCCTGAAGACACGTGGTGATGAAATGTAAATACATCTTACATCTAAAGAGCTTTGTCAAAGTAATGTGCAGCATAACTGGCTAGCTTGAAGAGTTTTGGGCTATGATTAGTCATCATGCAAAAAGAAAATAATTAGATTTAAAAGGATTAAGTTTCTGATCATATTGATGTTGTGTTGATGGTAAAGAAGGTATCTAATAATTTTTTGGCACCGGATTCAAGGAGCTGGTTTACTCTGGGTGGTCTATAAAAATAGTAACTTTACACAGAAGCAAAAGATAAATAGGACAAAGGAAAGTACAAAATATGATGGTGGGATTGAATCTAGGCTATTATCTATAATTACACTAGGTGGAAATAGACTAAACTCTGTAGAAGACGGTAATTGTCAGTTGGGGGTGGAGGTAGAGCACAAAGTTAAACTTTATACAATTTATAAGAGAAAAACCTAAAAACATAAAGTTACAGAAATATTGAAAGTCAAAAGATGAAAAAGCAAGTAGTAGTCAAAAGAAACCTGGAATTGTTCTGTTAATATCAGACAAATCTAAGTTTACCTTATGGAAAAAAATGTTCTTAGAAACAGTAACTAAATATCTATTTAAACATTTAGCTTACCAGGAATATGCAGTAATATCTACATTGACTTCTAGTTAATAATATAGTTTAGAAAAAATTGACAGAACTATAGGGGAGAATAGATATTCTGCCACCATAATGGGAAATTTTCACAAACCTCTCTCATTAATTGATAGGCCACATAGGCAAGAAAATTTGTAAAGCTAGAGAATATGTATGTTTCATTATTGAATTTGGTCTAATGCCCACATATGTGAACACTACCAACACACCACTACTTCTTGCTAATGTGCAGATGTTAAAAAAATTAACCAGGGCTAGGTCATGAAGGAAGTCTCAAATTTCAAAGAATAACGTAGAGGCTACATCAATCTGATAAAGTTAGAATCAGTATCACAAAGATGATACCTTAGAACTGATGCACTACTGAAAATTAAAAAGCATTATTCTGCATAACTTATAGATCAAAGGAGAAATAATGATATTATTATTGAATGATATTAAAAGTGGTATTTAGGGGCCTCCCCGGTGGCGCAGCGGTTGAGCACTGGGTTGCGAAGCTGCCCGCGGCCTCTGCGGCGCCGGTTCGATCCCCGGCTGCTCCCCGGCCACCGGAGGAGGGTCCCACATGGTGCGCAGACCTCTCCTGCCGCCCGCTGCTCCCCTCAGCAGTGTCCTTCGGTCCTTCTGCCTGCTCTGCTCCCCGCTCTGGCTCTGGTGAATTCTCTCACCCTCCCGCGCTTCTGACTGTACCCAGTGCATGTATAAACAAAACAAACAAACAAATAAATAAATAAAAACATGCCTCTATAAAAAAAAAAATAAATAAATAAATAAAAAGTGGTATTTAGTAGCAAGTACCGCATTATGTAGAATAAACACATCGTTGAAGATGATTTACAGTATAATTCCATTTCTGTTTAGTTCAAATCAGAAAAGCTGTACAACATGAATGCATGTGAATATAGGATAGAGTAATAAAGAAAAGCAATGCAGTTGCTATTACAGAATTCAAAAGTGGCATTGGGCAACCTATAATTAACTTGAATTCTGGGATATTTCTTTTTGTGCTTCCAACTTACCTTGTTTGCATATCCTAGAATTTATCACATTTTATATTTATCACGTTTGTTGGCACACCTGTAGATACTGTTTTTTTTTTTTTTAAAGAATAGAAACTCTGCCTTATTTCTTTTTTAAATTCCCTCAGCCTCTAATCTGATGTATGTAATATATGGTTAACATAGAAAAATTGCTGCACCAAATTGCTAAAAAGGATTTTTCAGACTGACTAGAAGAGAAGGTTTTCCAGGCAGAGGGCCTGTTAAGAGCAAATGTTTCAGAAGGTGTAAGAGAGTGGTTTTTACCTGTAGCAAGAGGCAGTCGAGCTGGCTAGAAGTCTCCTGACTTTTAGATTGTGCTTGCCATATTGTCACTACTGAAAAAATGTTTGTTGGATAATGGTTAAGTGAGTAAATGAATGAACAAATGAATGATTGGGTGTGAATGAGCATAGACTGTATGGTGGGGAATGGGGAGCTATAGTTTGAAATTCCTATACCTGTAAAACACAAACAACACTGTAAAACAGTGGTACCTAAATAAAATAATAATG